GAATTTTTTCGGTTTTGGGCCTGGGACTTCGGTACTTCGGGACTGGAACTCGGACGGACCCCAGTTGGTGGAGCTGTGGCGAAAAGAGTGAAAATTTATTGAGCTGTGGGCGCGCATTATTCATGCACTGCATTCAGCTAAGCTAAGCCATGGTCCGAAGAGCCGGCGATCCGGGACCCGGCCCCAAAAGTAGGCGACACCGGGCCGCGCTCAGGATCTCGGGACTTCGCTTGGGGACCTGGTGCCTGGTGATGCCGTCGCAGTCGCCGTTGCCGTCAGTTTGGGTTAACAGGTTAATGTTGTCCACGGTCCGAAGAAATGGCCAGAGAACTATGCATTGTTTTGGCCGGGCCTGCAGGGGTTGGGGTTGCGATCGGAGACCGTGACCAGATCGAACCACTTATCGCCTGTCGAAGGCTCTCGATGATGTTGTTTGGCCCCTAATGATGATGAAAGTCTGGCCAAAGAGGGCCAGCTTTCACCGCAATTGGCCAAGAAGTGTTGCCGGCTTATCACCTCGCCTGTGGTAATTACACAGGGAATTATGTCGGCAACAATAATTCGTAATTCGTTGTGGCATAATTCTGGGAAATTTAAATTTATGCCTCCGTGTTCTGGGGCCAGCTTCTTGGCCATGCTCGAAGCGCATTTATCGCGCAGCATCAATAAATTCTCCCGGGGCAGAAGCCCGGCCAAAAGGACAGGGCAGCAATCGCAGGTATCAACATTTCATAATATTTACAATAAACATGCAACTGTGCGGGGCAGCAGCTAAGACAAGGGGTTAAGGGATCGGTAGGTAGGATTGGTAAGAGGAGTTGGCAAGCCGAGGAGTTGCCAACAGAGGAGGCTGTTCCTGGCCACATTTAGCGCATCATGTTGCGTGAAATTTGACACTTTTGGCCGGGATGACGACACAAATTTCCACCGCATCTCGGCCAGACAGACGGGCAACATGTTGCATGTTTTTCCTTCGTTTTGTTCATCTCGTTTATAGAATCCCTGCCACTCGCGGGGCTACCGAATTTATGTGCCTTTGTCATATTTGCCAGGCTCTTCTTTAGGTTCGCCTCGTTTTGTGTTTGTTTGTGCGTTGTTTTATTGTGGCCTGTGTGTTTTTTGTGCGTTTGCTTAACAATAATACACAAATATGGCCACTGCCTGGTTGTCAACAACTAACCCAGAGGCCAGTTAACCTCTCCGCAGTCTCCATCGTCGTCATTTTCCACTCCATCTGCCGTGGACCAACTGCAAGAGCTGGCCAAGACTTTGGGCCTGGGTTTGGGCCAGGCTAAAAAGGCAAGGCTCATTGCATGTGCCATGCAAAACGCACACAATCAAGCGACAAATTGATCGCACTACCAGATAGCGCCGGTTCTGAACAGTGGGCAAAAAGGTTCTTAAATCTGAGGATCCAGAAGAACTATGCCTAATTAATTTGGTTTAGGCTCTGCTAACAATGCTTTTTTAACGAAATAGGTAACCTACAATATATAGATTTTTTTTGTAAAATCACACTATTTTAATACATGATTTGCATCCACTGTGGCAGCCGCTGAGTCTGCAGCTTGTTGCAAGTTCCGTGGCACACGTAGGCCTACCTACACAGTCTAGGAAAATCCCTCCTCCGTATCCTCCCGCCAAAGGCAGCGAGGTAACTAATATCTGCTGCAATTGCCAATGCCAATTTTCCTATTTAATATGCCACGAATTGACATGGGCCGTTGCCATTAAGCATTTGATATGACCAGGCCCAGAACCAATGGACCTGGCCATGTTTGGAGCTGGGCGCTGGACATGTGATGACATTGCACGGGCCACAAGCGGATGCAGTTACGGTTGCAGTGGCCATGGCAGTTGCAGTTCCAGTGGCATCCACAGCCATGCCTAATTTAATCAAATTAGCTGAGAAGCGCAGTGGAATGAAATTGTTCGTTTGGCCAGAGAGTGGAGCCAGAAACTCATTACGTTAATCAGTTGATTGTGCGAATCTAAAACAAATTATGACAGAGCTCCAATGCCACTGAGTGCATATTGCCGTCCATATGGCAATTTCTATAATTAATTCCCCCCACCCCCCTCTCTCTCTCTGTTCAAATGCAATTTGTGCAGTTTAATTTCATTAGAATAATTCTAATTAGGGCAATGAGCTGGAGGTGCTATCACTGCCGAACAATCGTTTGTCCGAGCGCTTGTGCGAATGGGATGCAGCTGTTGCGAGCGTGTGATAACGGAAATTTAATTGAAACTGTGGCAGCATTTGTGGAGTTATTGGAGTGGCCCAATGGCCAGGAGCCAGGAGCAGCCAACCAGCGCGAGAACCAATTACATTTACCAGCCGACTTGACCTGCTCTCCACCTCCCAAACCCAAAGCCAAACCGAAACCCCAACCCAAAACCGAATCCCCATTGATGAGCTGGTGTCCGATGATAAACACGGCTAATGGAAGTTGCCCTCACAGATTACAATGTTTGTTGCCATCTAAATTGAATTGCAATCGAGGCCCGGTCCTCTTGGATCGGTATTAAAATTCATTTAAATCGACTCCAATGGTAGAAGCCATAACCGGGCTATCGCAGCTAATCATCTAAAGAAGTGTTTTGTGTTAGTGTCTGTCGCCATTGTTGGGTGCACATTTCCAATCAGATAGCCACGCAGCCGAAACGCACGAACTGAAACCGAAACACAAACGGAATTACGAAAGCCACAGAATGGAAGGAATGGAGTAGGAAGGGAAGGAGGAGGAGGAGATGGAGGAGGAGCTTCGAAGGCCAGGACAATGAGGAAATGGTCGAGGACATGGCCGGAGGAGCTGGCCTCGGCATTGTTCCCTGGCTCCTCGTCGTCCTCCTCACTAATTAGTTAATGCATGACCAAATATTTGCTGCTGTCTTGGCCCGAATTTCAACCTTTGAGCCAGAGGAGCCAGCACTCAAGCAAATGCGATTCCCATTGAACTGTTAAATCGGTGATTTACTCAGCATAATGCACTCAAATTGATAGGATTGAAAGGCACAAAGTGGAGCTAAATCAAAAGTGGACTAAAACCAATTAAATGCCTTCAAATTACTGCTAATACTTAAATTGGAATATTTATTTTTGAACTTAAAAGCATGTGAAACCTAAAGTGCCAAGAATATTGATTACGCTATTGGTTTCAGCTTTAAAACTAAAGTGAGCTGTTCCAGCACTTAATCATACCATAAATATGGCTCTCTGCTTATGTTTGACATTAACTAATTAGTTAATGCAGGGTCCCCAAATTCGAACATTTGATGGGACCAGCAGAGACAAGAGTTCTAGCTAATAGACCTACCCAATCCCAAACCAAATCCCCATCCCAATCCACTTCCACATCCACATCCACATCCACAGACAAACCCATTGATTTACGTTCATATTTAGTGCGGTTTATTTATGTCGTTTGTTGCATGTTCCCCAACTGGTTTCAGGTGGCGTGCCCCATTATCATCCGGGCGAGTGTGTATCGGTGTGTGAATTGGTTTCCCATTGGCTGAACATATGCCCACTGCCACGCTTATCTGCGATGCTGATTAACTGATTTATATGGCTGGTCATTGCTTATGCATTGATCACCTCACTTTTTCGTCTGATGGACTGACTGCTGCCCCGAAATTGGAATTGGAATTTGAATTAGAGGAACGCTTTCGGTAACCATTACAATTGACCCGTGACATGTGCGACACTTTTGCATGTGTTCGGGGTAATTTCCAAGGCACTGGCTCGAATGACTTATTTTGTTTCAATTATATTGTAATTATATAGCAATTAGGTTTACCATTTCGGTTTGCTTTGTTTTCGGTTAGCTCCGCCGTAATGGTAGAGGACAGGGCCTATCACGTAAAGCTCATGTGATGCTGACGATTCAGGTGCATATGGCATTTAAGTACACTACGTTTCGGATTTAATAGGTTGTTTACTATTACTGAAGTAATTGGAGAAGAAGAATAATAAAGCCCAATCAAGAAATGACAACAAGATATTAAATGGAAATCAGAAAATATTTTTATTTAATCCAAAAGAAATATATCATAACACATGTATAATGGTTTTATTTTCGATTATTTACTAACTAAGTTTACTCTATAGAACTTAGATTCTTTTCACGCACTGTCCCACCAGCAATATATATTTCAATAACTGAACAAATCGGACCTGCTTGACTGCGTGGCCGTGCCGTGCACTTAATTGCCGTCCCAATTATTGCAGTGGCCAGAGATATACCCAGCCGATAGGTCCGCGTTTATTGTATTGTTTGCAATCGGGAGAACTGATAGCGAAATAAGCCGAATCGCAGACCTTGGCAAGGTGCAGCGGAAGCGGATGCCGAGGGACAAAGGCCCAAATGGGGTCATCACTGCAGTTTCCTTCGCTGGATGCCGGATTAATGGCCGAATAACACGCGGTCGGCTTGGGGTCTTCCCGACTTATCATTCCGACGCGGTCATCGCTGTAAAACAAAAGACTTAGACAACGAACTGTGTTCTTGTGGCACTTCGCCCAAACACCAAACACCAACAATTGCGCTACGAACATGCCATTTCACGCCTCCAAACAACTCATAATTCATGCGTTCAATGGCCAGCAACAAATGCTGCATAACAAATGACCAACATAGGCCCAGAGAATCGAAAACTGAGGAATCCAAGGCACGTTTCTTCTGTAGGAAAGACGCATCGAAATTTAAAGAGCAATTCATAAGCATAAATGGCCATTATAGAGACATCATTGCGGGCCGGGTTTCGATGGCTGCTTATTGGATTTATTACCAAACCAATTTCGATTTTTTGTCCACTCATCTGAAAGCAATTAATCATCGGCGGAGCCTTCAGTGGTCGTTCCTCAATTAGAATCGTTTTGTGTTTTTTTTCTGTATTTTTATGTATATTTTTTTCTTCATAAATTATTTTTATTTATTTTTGTGATTTTTTTTTGTGGGTTTTCTGGTGATTGCCATTAAATTTAATACAATTTTCCATTTTTTTCGATTTTAAATAAACTTTACTTTGCTTTGATTTATATATATTCAACTATCAATATGGCCAAATTACAATACATTTATCGTTTACACTTAGCACATAATACATCATATTTATATATATAGTTATACATATCGTATTCTTTTATACCTCAGACATAAATTAGGTTAGGACTAAACTGGCTTTATACACACAACTTAGGGGATTACGGCTTTATGTTTAGTTGGATTTTCTTTTTTTGCGGTTTTTCTCTTTTGTTTTTCCTATAATTTTACAAAAATTGCTAACAAATGTATTTTACAAATTGCCTTTAACATTTAATTTAATTAAATTTATTACATTACGATTAGGTCTAAGTATAGTTAAATGTGTATGTGTATATATTTTTAAGACTTAGGCATTAACATTGAACATTTAAGTGTGTGTGTTTTTAGTTAAAAAGTTGACGGCGGCCTTTGCAGTTAATCAAAAACATTTTCTCTTTAGCATTTTGTTAAGTTTATTTTACAGTTGGTAATGGCGCGCTTTAGTGAAATTTGTTATGTTTATATTTATATATAGCTTTTACTTTTTGTTTATCACGTCTGTTTTGTTTAGAGTCTAAGAATTTAACTAGTTTACAGTAGGCATACGCTCTAAAGTATCTGTGCAATTTTCAATTGCGTTTCGCGAATTAGGACAAACATCTCAAGCAACTTTTCTTACTGCTACGATTTTTGTTTTTGTTTTTTCGTTTTTACAAAAAATGTTTACTTTTGGACGTGCATTGTAACTGTTTTCTTTTGCTTTTTGTTTATTGTATATAATAACTTTAGTTCTCTGTGTGCTTGATTCTCGTTTTCTGTTATATGTACACAATAAATATTTATGAAACTTCCCCTCGCATTCCCTCGTTCTGTTTTTTTATGGCAGTTCATAAAGCACAATTAAATACGCTGAATTTGCGGCGAGAAATTAAATTAATTAAGCGAAATATGAAACATAAGGAAAAACTATACAAACACTCACAGAAAAGCCATAAAGGAAAAATAAAATAAAAGTAATGTGCAGCCCTTTAATTAATTTTAATGGGGCTTTTGTTATTGCTGCCGGCACTCGGCACTCGGCTCGCAGCAGCAGCAACAACAGCGACAAAGCTTAAATAATTAAAAATTGCACGCAATGTTTACAATTAGGAATAGCCAGCGTTCGTCCAGCCCGCACTCCACCCCCTCCCCCTCCCCCATTCCCCTCCTCCTCCCACTCCGCGAATTTGGATGGGATGTCAAGGGCTCGGTGCCACTGTCAATTGCTGGCCAAGGAGTCCTCAGTTTGGCATTGTGTTTTGTTGTGTTTTGTCTTGTTTCATTTGTTTTGTCTCGATTTATTTACGCCTCGATTGCGTCGATTCGGGCTAAGTCGCGGCTCTAACTGAACAGATTGTTGTTCAAGTTGTTCCCGCTCCATCACGTGTAGTCCGTGCGCCAGGTGCCCTGCGGGGAAAAGAGGGAAAATTCCAGGGGAACGTTAGTACAAGTTGGGGAAATGCTCGACACACAAAAGTTTGCACACAGAAAAGTATTTTGCTTGAAATATATACAAATTGGTTTGCAACTTGAGCAGATGTATCTACTATTTACATTAATCTTTAAAGTTTTTTTTGCAATATATTTTTTTGGGTTTGAGATTAATTTTTGTTTCACCATGAAGTGAAAGGAAGTTTCTGATAGTAGGCTTTTTTAATCTTTTTTTTCAACCTAAAGATTCTCTTTCTTTTTTTCTGTGTGCCAAAAAGCTTTGCCAAAAAGCTGTTCGACGCATAAAAATTCTCTTCTACGAGTACTCACCATCGAACTGAGGCCCAAGTGGTAAGGCTGCGAGTGGGGCACGACGGCTCCTCCGAGAGAGCCGGCCGTGGAGAAGCCCCCTGCAGTCCGCTGGAGGCCCCCAGAGCGCCCATGCCACCTGTGTACCAACTGCCGTGCATGTGCGCATGTGCAGGATGCAGTCCGCTCGAGAGGTGTCCGTGTTGAGCTGCAAAGAGCGGGAAAAATTGGGGAAAGTCGAGTGTTAGTTAAAGTGACTGGCGTTTAATTGGCGCTCGAGGAGATGCTTACCCATGGAGGCGGAAAAGCCGCCGCCGAATCCCTTCGAGGGATCCAGTGGCTTGAAGTCGCCCATGCCCAGGTGACCTCCGATGGGCAGACAGCCGCCCCCAAGACCCTTCTTCTTCTTGGACTTGGAGCTCAGCTTGCGGTTACGCGTCTGGATGCCCTCCTTTTTCATTGTGAGCGGACGGTTGACCTGGAAAAGGAAAAAGAACTGGTATTAGGACACAGGAAAAAGAGAGTAAGAAAAGTAGTCATAAGCTGACTAGAAATCTTATATGGTATATATGTTGTATCGTTTTAAAAAGTATTAAAGAAAATTATGTTTGAGAATAATTCTTGTTTGCAAATATGTTTCCCACATTCTTCCATTTTCCTGCGTGTAGGCGGAAAATCAATAAAGTAAAAGCGAACCGAAAAGAGGGCTAAAACCGCCAGCGACTGACCGCTAAAATGGGTCAAATTTATGCAAATTCATGGACCGGAAATGCCGCTAGCTGCACACGCTGTCTATGTGAGACAGGGGTGTATGCATATCTGAATATGTATATGTGTGTGAGTCTCCCTGTTTTGAGAGTGTGAGTGAGTGCAACCGGGAAGTGAAAATGAAGTATTACAAGCATTTCTACACGATCAGATAAGCGACATTTGCGAATGCGATTAGTTGGCGCTGATAGCGCTCCCAACGGCACCCGGGTAATGTTTTTTTTTCCTCTCTTTTTCAGTATTTTTACTTGCAGCATTTGCTGATGTTGCTGCTGCGCTGCTGCTGCTGCAGTTGTTGCTGTTCCCTTGGCCATTGTTGGGCTCTCTTCATATGCAACTCCTTATCACTTGCGAACATCTAAGCGGCAGCATGCGCTTCATTGCGCTACAATTACAATATTGGGTTACCCATTCCCAGCAGAGCAGCAACATTAGCAACAAAAGCAGAAAGGGAGGCCCGAAAAGCAACATTACAAAGGACCAAGGGCTACCTGGGCGTGAATTACGACATTGTCGGTGGCTCTTTCTGCGATTGTTGCTGTGCCCTCGAAAAAAAGTAAGCAACAGCAGCAGCAAACACTGAAATTGTTAAATTGCCGAGCGAGGAGAGTAGTCTTTGAAGAGCCGGGATTTTCGGAGGGTTGATCCGGCGACAAAAACGTATCACTTACAGTATACAAAGCACACAAAAATACCGAGGAGATGGGAGGATCTCGGGGCAGCCCACGTAATTGATAGTCTCTCTAGCGTTTAGCGCAAATTGCGGCAATTAGCAACTCGGCAGCAGAGCAACAGCGGCTGTGGCAGCTGCGGATCTGCCGGGCTTTAATTGATATGCAGCAACAAAGCATAAAGTTGTTAATGCCCAGGCCTAGCTCATTAGGAAATTCAGAGGAAAGCCCCAAAGGGGAGCACTCCATCCAGCAGATTAACTTTTTTATGCATAAAATCTAAATCGAGCGTGGAGCGAACACGCGCCGTTGCAGCTGACTGGAAACTTGACAGCCCTCGGGAGTAGAGTAAAGTCGGTGCAGCAGCCCACCCACAGATCGCATCCATATGGGATATACACCCGAGATCGGTGGGATAAGGAAGAGAGAGCGATAAATCCGGGGACAATCGACGGGGAACGGCGCCGGTGACCGTTAGGTAACCTTTATGATTTGTTATATTTTTCACCACGCCACAGGACATTGCCCAGCAGGTTCCCAAAGGACTCTTCGGCCTGCCGAACAATTGTCTCATTGCCGTTAATTAACATGCTGATCCTCCAAGATATACTTCGTTTTCAAGGAACTCCGAGCAGACACGCGCAGATGCCAGATAGCAGATCAAAGATCCAGCAAGTGCATATCCAGAATAGAGGAAAACTACTGATACAGATTTCAGTAAATGTGGAGTCTTAAAGTAGTAAGTTAGATCCATGAAATTTATTGTCAAGTTAAAATGGGAAAGATATTGAAGATAGTATAGATAGATAGAACAAATCATAGTAGTTTATCCCCTTCTAAAGGTTTTTAACATATTTTTTCCCAAGCATAACTGCTCTAATTGCTGTTAGCCAGGCTACACTGTACCGCTACGCCAAGTGCCTGCAACATTTCCATAAAATGTGCCAATCACTTCGGTTAGAGAGGCCCACACAGGCGGCACAGCTCGAAATGACAAACGAATTGAATTGAAATGAACTGAACTGCAGCCAGGAAAGCAACCAAAGCCACTAGCATAAAAAGGGAAAGAGACGGCACAAGAGGCAGCCGCAGAGGTAGAAAGAGAGAGCTGTACTCCGGGCAGACAGAGATGGCAATGGCAAAAATGCGCGCTGATTGGCATCTTATCGAGATGGGCCACTGTCCAATTGAAGGAAAATTTTTGCAAAAATAAATTTCGCCTGCTCAGCCAGCTCAGCCACCCAAAGTGCATTTTCTCGTATGTCGGAAAAGTTTTTACTTTGTGCAAATCAGATTACGGAAAATAGAGCAAATGTGTGTCTGTTTGCGTTGGCCGCTCTTTGATATTTGCCTTTTATGGACGGGCTCAATTAAAAATATTTCGCCTTTGCCGATTGCCATCGAAGTGCAGCCGCTTTGCTTGCAAGTGGCCACAAGTGGCGACCGCAACTTAATTAGTTTGCCACACGGCCCACTGTACACTGTATGCGACGATACGGCACAGTGGGACGGACAGGTGGCCCATCACTTAGGGCCACTGACATGTAAATGTGCCAAAAGTTCAACCGCAAAACTCATTAAAACTTGACTGCAGGCCACGAAACCGAAAGACAAAAAACGAAAAGACACCAGCCGAAAATAAAAAGAGGAAGGAAGCCCGCAAGTTGGGGGAAAACTTGAGCTTATCCCCTGAAAAGCGTGGCTAATGAATATTTAATATTTAATGTGGAAGGCCGAGGGGTGGCCGGATGGGCGAGCATTATTCAATTGAATGCAGTTAGCCGGGTAGTCGATTACATAAATTAACTCTGGCGAGGGGAGATCTTCGCTTCTAGCATCCTGCCACGCGTTGCCCATAACTGGAAATCGGGGAGAAGCTTATCGCATTTTCACAGCCAAGCACCAGACGCTTATCGCTGGATGGCAAATGGTGGGAAGAGTGGGTGGTGGTAGTAAGTGGGTGGTGGCTAACTGGCATCTTTAAATAATCATCAGGCATTCATCATCGCGAGGGTAACAAAGCAGCAGCAACAACAACAACAGCAACAACAGCAACCTGCTGCGGCAACAAATCGAGTAGCTAAACGGCAGTCAACCCCCTGGGGTTGCGGAAAAGCGGAAAACAGCGGAAGGGGGCGAGCTGGTGGGCGGGCTTTTCAGACACTTCATTTTTGTCACTTTTTATCCGGGTGCGTGTGCTTCCTGTCCGAAACTCGCCGAGAGTGTCCCATTCTGATGTTAAATGTGGCGTTAAATCGCGCGAATCGAAAATCAATGGGACTGGGGTGAATTTGGAGTAGCTTTCGCAGGCTAATGGTTCCGATGACCAGTGGAGCTGAACTACACTGGGAAAATGGATTTGAATTACCCGAAAATAACTTGGAATGGAAACGTATAAGTGTACTTAAATGGCTTTTTTTAAAGATAAATATTTATAAAAAATTTCTCCTATTTTAATCCATATTTTTTATGTGTAGCTAAAGAAGACTTTCGAAATACTTACATTGTGCAGCTTGTAGTACAATCCGCAGGCATTGCACACGGGTTCGCCGCTGGCATTGCGTCGCCAAAGGGTTGTGGTCGTGGTCTTGCAGTTGGCGCAGGATGTGCCCGCCCTCTTGGCCGCACTTTGCAGCGATTGCAGGGTCTATAAATAGAGGGAAAATAATAAGGAAAAGGGTTAGATATTGACCAAAAAATTATGGTTATTTTAATGTGTTTCCATATCCTTAAAGAATTGATTATGCTAATGCTGCTGCTGCGACGGCTAATTGAACAGCGCCAAAACTAACGCACAAAAGTCAGCAACAAGACCCAGAATCTGTTTGCCCCTCCCCGCGAAACTCCTCCTCCGAAAACAGAGTTGCTTAACACACCGGGCAACAACATTTTTTAGATGGCATACCAAAAAACCGTGGAGCCCCAACCCAGCAGAGCCCCAGAACTCAGACGGAGTTGGAGTCGGAGACGCAGAACTGTGGCTGCCTTGCGTTCGACTTGGGTTAACAGCAGCATCAATTCATTAAAATGACAATTTTTACAAAACTGCCCAAAAACAACAGCAGCAACAACAGCGGACAACAGCAACAACAAGCTGGGATCATGTCTGTGCCACGCTTAAATTTCCACGAATTGGCTACAAGAACCGAGAACCAAGAATCGAGAATCGAGCAACGAGCCCACAGAATCGAGAACCCAGAATCGAGAGCCCCGAAAGCCAAAGAAGCCAAAGAAGCTGTTCCCTCCGAGATCTGGGATCCCTCCCCCCATTTTCTGTAGTACAGACTTTGTCTGCGTTTTGGTCTTCGTTATGGCATGCCCCCTCCATTGGTGTCCCCTCTATAAATGCACTGCGAAAAATTAAGGGGAACTATTGGAATATGTATATAGAAACATTTGAGTTGTAATAAGGGTTCTTTAAGGCAAAACTTTGACTTTAAAAGTATTTTTTCTTTAAATGTTATATTTTTGTTTTGCAAACTACCATTTATTTTCTCTGAGTGCAACCTTCCAGTTTGGCTTGTTCATGCTGCTGGTACAACACATGGCTACGAGGCCTTAAACTGGCGTTGATCATGTTTGACTTTGATTTTTAATTGTTGCCTCTGCCACAAGGGAATCGCCTTCGTCTCCGAGAGTTCGAATCCGACTTCGATCGAGATTTCGATCTGTTTGGCTTTAGTTTTGGCTTTGGCTTTAGCTTGGTCTGAATCTGCTCGGTGTGTCTCACCTGTTCCCGATTTGGCGATTAACATAAATCAGAGGTCATAAGGCGAGGGAGCCGAGCTGGTGGCGAATGGTGTCTGCATTTTTTTTGGTGGCACTGTCTTGTGTTAACGAGCTTGTAACAATTTCTGCAGACAGCGCACGCGGTCCGAAAAATGCCAGAGCCAAATGCGAAAAGTGAGAAATTCAAAATTAATTTCAACGCCTACGAGGGGAGAGATGGGTGCAGATAAACTGGAAGTTTTGTGGTAATTATGCTGCAGTCTCCTCTCGGCCACTCGGACGACAACCTGGCCGAAATGCTTAAGCGTATATAAATTAAGTTGTTAACATGACAATGCGACAAAACAGTTCGAGGAGCGACTGCGAAACAGGATCAGCGGTTCGCATTCCATTCCCGATTCCGCAACTCCTGTTGGCCAACACGGACCAGCAAACAGTGTCACCTCGCTGCGGTGGACTGACGTAATGCCAAGTACAGTAAGTACGGCAATCAGGGGCCCAACAATCGGGCGGCAAATCACATAAATCAATGTCACTCCGCTGCATGCAAAGAGCGAGCGGAAGGGAGAGGGGAATAATTGACTTCTCGGGGGTCGGAGGGTGATGGGAAAATTGACAAACTGTCAGACATTGACAGGCGTTTGGGGTTTAATTGAAATGCAAAAAGCGCAAGCGCCAAAACAACAACAACAACCACAACAACAACAGCAGCAAACACACAAAACAAGATGGCGCTTGCGATTAATAAACAAAGCGAAAAGGCACATAAGGAATGCTTTATGTGCCGCACACAAACAACCAAACAGAAGCGGTAAAAATAGTAGACATTCCGGAATAATTTAATAATATATAACAATTTAATATTGCTAAATCAGATATCAAATACTTTGATCTTAATTCAATCAAAATATATATTTGAACCCACAACAATGATGCCAAATTAAGAAGACCTTTGTAATAAACACCATTAAATGTTATTAGCTAAAAAAACCTTTAAATTTAAATACGAATCTCTACAATTGTGACCTCAGTTGTTTTCTGTGTCTGCTGTTGGCTTTGAAGTTTTCAGTGTTGTGGCCATAAATTGTGATTTATCAATGCATGACAAAATGCGTTTGCATTGTTGTTTTTCCCGGCACTCGCCGTCTCTTTCTCGCCTCGTACATCGCTCTCTGTCGCTCCTCTGTTGGCCCAACATTTGACACCTTTGCGCTGCGCTTTACTTGATTTATACTTTTTCAAAATAAAGCTCACAAAATGGTCGACTCGTCTTCTTTTTATTTTCCTTATCTTGGGGATTTGTCTTCGTTTTTTTCCCCCAGCTGCTTTGCTTTTGTGATGTTATGCAAATTTCGTTTTCATTTCACACAAAAACACACACAGGCATTTAAATATTTAATTGTAAGTGAAACAGAAACAGAAACACGGTGAAAAGATTTTTGTTCGGGGGGCGGCTAAGGCTAAGTAAATATGTGCCGAGTAAATAGATTTTCCTCCTCAACGGTGCTATTTATTGCGCAGCTTTTGTGCGCTCTCTTTTGAGTCGTTCAGTGGCAATGCCCTTTGCCATCTGAGATACGAGCCGGGACACAGTCAAGATGCTGGGGAAAAGTGGGGGGAGCAGTGGGAGGGAAGGGGGTGGGGCAGAGTGGGAGCCTTGGGGTGTTAAAGGGGCGGAAGGACGAGTCCCTGCCCAGTGAATGTTGAGATTTGCTATCTCAGTGTAACATCTTCCACTCGGGGCGTCTCTCTCGCTCGCTCTGCAGAGGACACTTTATCAGCCCGCTTTTTGTATCTCTCGCCCCAGCAGCAGTCCGCTGTATCTGTATCTGTGTTATCTAACAAAACATTCATTAAATTTTTCGCAGTCGTTTTGCAGTCTACCCTTAACTTGGCTCACAGCGCATGGCCGCCCCCTCAATCCGGGGGTTGTTTTGGAGCCACCCATCCACCCACCCACACATATATACATACGTATATATGGTATATATCAAGGGAAGATAACCAAGATAGCGGACGGAAAATTTCTATATCTGATGCTGTGCTTGTGGGTGGTGAGGATGGCCCCACAAAATGGGGTTTGTTGAGCTTGTGTCTGGCACATAGAAGTTACTGTCCGACTGTGAAATTTAATTTAAAAATTCAAATTTTACGGGCTCCTTTTTCGCTTTTTCGTTTTCCCTCGACTTGGTGTATCTTCCTGGCTCCTTTTCCATTTTCCTGCAGCTGTGCGAGGGGGCGTGACTCAGGTCGTGGCTTTCCCTGCAGCTAATTTGCCTAATTAAAACATCAGCTTAACTCATTTCCATGCTCAAGCTGCGACCTGGCACGAAACTGTTGCTAAAAATCACACCTGCCCCTGCAGAGCCGAGTTGGATATAAAAAATCAATAAAATGTTATATGGCCAGCAAACAGAACAAGCCATTAATGTCGCTCATTAATGCTGCTCAATGAATTTTACGATCCAGTCTGGGGAGGGTTTCCAACCAGACGAAGGCTCTTTTCAGAGCTTTGTGTGTTTGTGTGCTTGTCGCATGGAAAGGCTGAAATGTCAACGGGCCATTGTTGTGAATTTTAAGCAGCAACAGTGGCTGCCAGAGGTTGACCCTAAACATGGAGAAATCGAGGGATAAAACAAGGAAAAGTAGGAGTAGGAAAAGGAAATACCTTAAGCCTTCAAGAAATTGAAACCTACTTAACTAGAAACCTAATACATTTTCAAGTATTAAATTTGCTCAAGATATACTTTAACTTCCAATCAAATCCCTGCAATTTCTTTGAGTGCAGTGACTTGCACTAAAAGCAAAACATAGTTGCATAGACTGACAACCCCACTTCTCCCCTTATAGAAACCCAAGCTCCCATTGGAAGGCATGAAAATCGTCATTAATATTTGTCACTGGCCATTGAATGGGGGCAGCGCGAACCTAAATAAATTATGGAACTGGCCAAAGGGGCAAGGTGGAGCCTTGTGGTCAGTGGCTGGCCAAAATGAATGTGCGCTTAACACGCGCACCACCCCCTCGCCCCCTGAAAACCCTACCCCCCTCCCCCCTTTCCCCGCTGAATGCGTGTTCGTTGTCTGTAAATCGAAAAAGGGTTAGAAAATTCACATTGCAACCCTATTTCCTTGGCGGGGGCGGTGGTGTTTGGTTGTTTGGGTGTGCTGTAACCTGTGCAAAATTATGCATTTGCATATTAAACAGTCACCATAAATTTCTGTGATGGAAAGAGAGGGCGAGCAAAAGCGAAAGCAGCCCAAAGCCGCTGGATTCCCGCTTAACAAGCTCCCAAAAAAAAACAACAAAACCGAAACTAAAAAGAGTTGATATAAAATGAGAAGAAAAAAAGACAAAAAGTGGCCGAGACAAAAGGCTGGCTTGGCCTTAATCATCGACGGGCAACCCTTTGGCAACGGGCTGGCAACGTTTGAGCCCTGCTTTGAGCCTCTTTCATTATTATTATTGGCACGCCCCGTTTTTGCTGCGTTGCGTTGCGCTTCGTATCGTTAATTTTTAATTGATCTGCGCGGCTGCATTCCCTTTTTTTCGCCCATTCGCCGATCGTCAGGTTCGTCAGCTCTTTTGCCTTGTGGCCCCAAGTGCATTTTAATAACATTAGGCCCCCACTTAACGAGATCTCCTAGCGCCCCAATAAGAACAGCCGAAAAAAACAGGCTTAATGCCCGCGATTGCGTATACGCCCCGTTGGCTGCGTTCGATGGATGATGAAGCAGCGGCCAAAAGGAGCAACGTACATTGAACTTTTTCGCAAGTTTGTTGGTTCGCTTTCGTGGTTGGCTTGTTGTTTTTATTTTCGATCTGCTTTAGTTTTGATTATCGATCGTCTGCCCTTGTGCATTTAATTTTTAGCGTCACAGCCTACAATCGATTCGATTTTCCCACGGGGAACCCGAGATGCCACAGCTGGCCCCAAAATGTGTTAATTAGTTTTCCCCTCCGCCCTCTCCCTTTCCCTCTTTCGTTTTCACTGCTGCTCTCTCTTTCTCAGTGGGCTGGCCACGAAATTCGTTGGCCCGCTGCGATCGTTTAAGCCTGGTTTATGGCTGCCCGCTAGCTGTTAGCTGTTGAGCTGTTAGCGTTGAAATACGCCCGCGGATTAATAATTAATTAAGCTCTATTCTCCAAATGCATTTATAAACGATTGTGTCAAGTGTTGATGGGTTTATTGTTGCTAACTATTTCTAAACGGCAACAGCAACAGCGAGATTTTCTTGGTAACGCTCGAAGCGGCATGCAAATGTGACATAAGCCAATGTAATAAGCGTAAGAATAAATAATTTAAGCTTTGTGTTACTTCGCTGTTGTTGTTGCCATGACGTGGCCGTCGTTTTGTTCAATTTACTGTGTGAAAATTCGCATAAATTAGGCAGGCAGCAACTGAGGCATAAATATTATGCAAAATGCAAGCGCCGAGTCTCGCCCCCTCTGATTCCCCCTGATGCCCCTCCTATTATATAAGTCACGATCGGCGAGATGAGCAGCTGCCTGCCGACTGACTGAGATTGACCCCAAGTTTAGTTTTGTGTTCTCTGCGGATCTGCGGTTTTTGAACATGGATTGGCAATTAGCCATAGACATTAAATGTTGCTATTAATAGACATTTTTAGGGAGTGATTTTCCTTCGAAATATTACCTACTATTTCAGTTTTTTTTTTTGAACGGGAAGTATGTGATTTTTGTGTGGCAAATGTGACAAATGCCATTCAAGGCTGGAACCGAAAAGGCTTGGCTATTTTGGTCGAGGGGAGGGCTTGTTACCCTCGGGCTAAAAGCGAAAACAAAACGAAACTTTAGCGCTTATAAAAGTTTTCGGGCCTTATAATTAAATGCAATTATTGCGACGCCAGCGGGCTGCTTAGCCAGAGTTCAGCAACAACAAAGGAGCAGATCGACCGATCGGCGGAACAACTGGAAAACATATGTAAGCGAACGGGGCCGCCAGAACTGAAAACGGCGACTGAAAACTGAAAACCGAGAACAGAAAACTGAAACCGAAACTGAGTTGCGGGCTAAAATACATAAATTAAAAATTTGCATTGTTCTGTTTCGAAGCTTGGGGATCGGGGATCGGAGATCGAGGATCGAGGAGGAGGAGGTGGCGGAGGCACACACACAAAAAGAACTTTACAGTGTTTTGCGCTGGAAGAGTAACGACTTGTTGACTGTTTTCATACAATTCGGAAATTTAATTAAAGGCGGCCCCAAAGCAGACAATGAGGACCGGTTCCCCGCCCCCTTTTGGCTGCAGGTGCATCGGTGCCTCAGTGCTTCAGTGGTTCAGTGCCTCAGTGGCTCAGTGGTTCAGTGGCTGAGTGGCTCAGCATCGTGGCATCGTATGCAAAATCCGGCAAAACTTGACCCTCGCGTCGCGACTGAAGATCAATACAATTGCCACCCAAAGAGTTTCGGGGCCAGCGGTCTGTGATTTCAATGGTCAGCCCTCGGCGAAGGCCGGCAAACACAATTGAATTGCATTTCAAGCAGCTAAGGACATTTGAAGTTGATGGGCCGCATCCTGTGCCACCAACGAAAACCGAAAGAGAGAGAGAGGAGTGAGCGGTCCATAAGTCAGCTGAGTGCCACATAAATTTTAATTTGTTGCATATTTTGTCAACGAAAAAGTCAAGTCAAGTCGAGCTTCGATCTGCGAGGAGCTGGCTAACTGGCTGACTGGCTGAGTGGCTGACTGGGGATCCAGCTGTGAATTTCTTGGGAATTCCCTACGTCAGCGAACGGGGACCAGCGGGGATAATAATGGTTTATTTATGTTAATGTTATGCAATCAAAACGCATACGATTTAAATGCCAATAAAAAATCAACGCCGAGCCACGCGAAGGCAGCGTTTAACAGTTTGTTTGTTTGTGGCCGTGTTGTTATGCTTGTTGCCTGCCTTTTTACGCATCTTTAATAGACCAATTTTTCGTGTGCTTGGCTCTTCTTCTGCGTTCGCTGCTTAAGTCTTTCGTTCCGCGGTGGCGCCACAAACCAAGAAAAAAGAAAAACGAACCTGAAGAACGACGAACCTGACCGCGACAAGGTTACAGATATTTTCATAGTTTGTTGATGATCCAGCTCGATAAAAACCTAACCCACACACAAAATACAAACTCCGGCTGCTGTCTGATTATGTTTTTAGTGCGCTAAGTGATAATGATGATGCACCTCGATCGTTATCGGCCAGCATCCAAATCGAAAGCATTTTTCCCATACCCCCCGACTCCAAGCGACTCCAATCAAGAAACGTAAAGAGTTTCTGGTTCCCGGAATCGTATTATGACATTTGAGAACTTTCACGCTGCTTTTTATGGCCTTTGGCGACAGAAACGTGGTCCGAGATTGATGCTCATGGCCAGCGATTTCCCAGGAACTCCTCCCCCTCCCTCAATCTCTTTCCCCCTCCACAATTCAGTTGCTGAATTTATTAGTTAATTTGATCGAATGTGTGGATGCTTAACCCAGCGGGCTGTATTCCCAATATCTGTGTATCTACGATTTGCTTACCAGTCTTCGCTTTGGCTTGATCAGCGGTCGGTTCTGGCCGTTCATCTTGTAGTACAGGCCACAGGCGTTGCACAAATAGTGTCCCGTTCCGTCGCGTCGCCACAGTGGCGTCGATGTGGCACCGCAGTTCACACACTCGCGTCCCTCTGCAAAAGTAACACAGAATATGCAAATATTTAGAGGGGTGTTGCAAGGCTATAATTCACGACACAAAGCGGATAGAAATTCTTGGTAAAGGGATTAGTAAAGGTGATTACAGTCCAAGTTATTAGTAACAAAATTAGGGGTTATAAATTATTTTTATTTTACATTTAATTAGTTAAAAAAAAAACCATAACTTATTAGCAAGCTTGGACTGCATAGTTAATGACATGGAAAATGTGACCTGCAAAAATGACTAAGGTTTATATTATTTCTTTCTGTGTCGCATTCTTGGGCGCTTGAGTTGGCGAACTTTCTTGGGGTCTCCGCCGACTTCCGCACATTCGTATGGGTTAATGTTAACCCAAAGCGCGCGACAACAACAACAATAAAACATGATGCACAGCAGCAACAACAACAGCAGCAGCAGCAGCAACAACAGCAACGAAGGGCAACATTTTTCAGCTGTTTCTCAGTCATTTTGATGTCTTTTGTTTTTTATGTGTATGTTGCTGGTTGTGCTGTATTTTTTCCTTAGTTTTTTCCTCAATTTTATTTTACTTTTTTTGGGTTGCTGGGCAAACGCATGGAAGCGGAAATGATGGATTCGCTGGGGTCGGCGGTGTCGCCCCGTCTCTTTCTCGGGGCCATGCTCCCTCTCTTTCGCGCACTGCCTCTGCTGACTTTACACATTTTAATTAAGCAGCGACAGCGGCTTCGTTCTAGTGACTGCAGTTCGCCCCCTCTCTTTCGCTCTCTTTCTAACCGGACCAAAGCCTCTCTTTCGCACTCTAGGGCTGGTTAGCTGGCTAACTGTAAGGCAGCCTCATTTGAATAAGTTTAGTCATAATTTGTAAGCGGAGTTGATTTGACCCGAGAGGGAGCGAGATGAAATTGCAAATGTAACGCGTTATTAACGTTCCACATTACAGTTGTCTTTGGGCCGAAGAACAGAGTTTTCTCTTTGGATTTCCCCCAGCCACTGGCTTTTCCTCGACTCATTTAATGACGCCACTAAATGGGCTTCATTATTTCTGTGCTTAATGCCTCGCTCTTTGTTTGTGCGCTTGTTTTCAAATTGAAATTTAGTCATAAAGTCACTCCCCCAAAACCCCCGTGCACCGAACATTAGCCAGGCCAAAAGGAAAACCGAAAGATTTAACGCTACTTTCGGGGCCCTCAGTCGGCCGCTCTGGCGTAATTAATTAAGCCAGCCTTTTTACATGGCCACATGAGCATAACTTTTATTGAATATTAGCCACTGGCCAAAGGCGCTCCCAAAAACAGAAAAAAATGAAAAAAGGTTAGCAGGGATCTCATTAAGTGCGTTTGTCAAGCGCTCGCCTGCTGAAATGCCATTAGGGGAATTCCAGTTGCGTTTTGATGACAGAGCCGGGCTTTATTTCCTTCGAAAGCCTCACGTGATTTAGTTCACGCAGCTATTGTCACACGTGTCCTGTGGTGTCCTGCGGTGTCCTGTCCGCTGTCCTCTGTCTCCTGGCATGCCAGGCATTTTGTTCTTGAGCTCTCAAAGAAATTAACTAAAGCGCTCTGCGTGTTTTCCCCCTTCTCCACGGCATGTGGTCAAGTAATCTCTTTGGTTTGTTGATTTTTTTTTTTTTTTTTTGTGAGTTGCCCCGGGCGCGTTAAATAAACAGTTCATTTGTTTCCATTTAATCGCAAGTTTGCGCTGCCCTGCTTTATTTTTCGTGGATTTTTGTTTGCTTTTTATGGCACTTTTTAATTGCCGCAGGGCGTGTTGCTCCCTTTTTTTTTGTTTTGCTGCGTAAAAGTGCCGCCAATCAGTGGGGCAACACCCACTGAATTAAAACTGCATAAATTGTGGCGGGGAGGGGAGAAGTTTCGTCAACTCAGAAAGTACTGTTTATTCGCGCGGGAAACGAGGAACTGAATCTCCTACTTTCAGCATTCGCTAGCCATAAATTTTCACCTGCCGCAGACATGCATATTTATGCCACATCTGTCTTCGGTTTGCGCCGCGAACAGAAGCCGCTGGAAAATTGAAAACTTTATGCATTTATTAGTTTGTCATAAAGCAGAACAACGGAGCGCTTGGCATTTAGCATAAAAGGAGCCCTCCCCCAGCCGCATATTAAGCCATAAAGTGTGGCTGGCCATTGTTGGGGTTTTCTTCTTCCCGGCTTTGGGTTTTCAGCTTCCCGGGAAGTTCTCCTCTCCTCCCATCCCCAGCCAATCGGAATATCCACTCGGCAGTTAATAAATCAAACGTGTTAATGATGTTTTTACCCTACGTGCCCACTTTTGACAACACAAAAAGGCAGAAAGGCAGCCAAGTTGGCCGAAATTGAATACAGGCAATCGGATCGCAGTCCCGAATCGAAGTTGGCTGCTGCGCACGCGCACTGGGAATTCTTGGGTTTTACTACTTTTTGATTCGACTTCTATTTATAGCGAGTGAGATCCTGGAGCCGTGTGTTTTATGGCCATCAAGGCATTTGTTTTAGCCTGCCCTCGTCTTTGTTTTGGCTTCAATTTGCCTCCGCTCTTGTGGCTTTCCTCTTTGTTTATTTTCTTATTTTCCAGTGTTTTCCAGCGGGGGACACGTAGCAGGTTGGGCTATGATTTAGTAGCCTGCTTATAACTGTTTTCCAGCTCTGCCCCCACCACTTACATCATCCTCTGTGGTCCAGGGGCCCAGTCATCTGGCCTGGCTGGCTGTAATTTCCTGGAAATTTGTGCACACTTCGGTATTTTCCCTCATCGCCGTTTGTTTTTTACGGTGTGACATTGTCTGGGTTCCAAAAAACAGAAAAAAAAAAAAAACTGGAGGGAAGAACTGACTCGAACCCGAATCCGAATCCGAATCTGAAAACGAACCCAAACTGAAACTGAAACCGAAACTGAACCTGTTTTTAGGGCCTGATTTGGCAGCCTTGTTCTTCTTCTTTCTGGCCCTCGACCGCCGGGTCTAAAGGTCCAACTAACTGTTGCTGCTTGATTTGACATTTGGCGTCAGTGGGCCATAATTGTCTAGAATTTATGTGTTGTACCTTTTTCTCGTTAATTTGTTTGACTTTTCATGCATGTGGGCAGCAGCCGAGCAGATCGAGCCGCAGAGATCCTGAGAACCTCCGTTTTAATTAGTTGTTTGGATTAATATACAGATTTATGGGCTGGTTAGGATAGTTTCAGATAGAGACAATTACTTGGTGAGCAAGACAAAAGACACATGGATGTGTGAGTAAATAGTTGTTGTTGCTGCAGTTCTTTTGAAAACTTCAAACATATAAAAGGAAAATACGTAAAATACTCGAAAACGAAACGAAGGAAATTAATTAAATTGAACACAAGTGTCGGGGCGAAATGAAAAGTATGCGCCTAGTATGAATAATTGCCTCGCTGGCGATCGAAGGGGGTTTATAAATTGCAGGGGGTTGGGGTTGGGGAGGGGCAGTGTTGGGGGGTCTGGGGGTGCATGCCGCAAATAAATGGCAAGCGCCTCATTTTGAGGCCACAGCTGTCAGAGCGCGGACAAAGGAACAATGCCCGCTGTTCGGGACTTAAGGCCCTGATTGAGTGAAGTGAGGTATGTGCGCGAGGATCCCTGGATCAGAGGATCCCTGCATCCATGGATCCCACATGAACCCAAAAGACGAAGGTTGCCACAATCGAGCTGCGAGTGTCCAGTGTCCGTACCCATATCAATTACTTAAAGCTCATTCACAACATTTTTTATTTTCACCTGACAAAAGCCCAAATGGCATCCAATCAATTCCCCGGCCGGCCAACCGGGCAGCCTCGGCAGCCGGGCGATCCTGCCGCAGTGGCAGTGGCAACGAGCCACAAAGCCACAACACATGTTCTTGCGCCCGAAAAACTTATCGCCGGCGATGCGATAAACGATAAATAAATACAGGCCAACAAGATGCTGCCGGGACTAACGAAGGCAGACAATGTTTCTTCATCTCCTCGCTCTTCTGGTTAGTTAAGTTGGCCAGCTGAACGGGCCAACCAACCAAAAAAAAGAAAAGAAACTGTCGCCGGGCCGAGAGAATGAAATAAAATAAAATCTGCAAGCGTTTTGTCAGGCGACTTCTCCCTCTTCACGTATTTTTTTTTTTTTTTTTTTTTTCGCCGGTGGAAACCGCTTCCTCATTTGTGGCTGTTATACAGTCATGATTATGTGGCCCATACGAGTTGTGGGCTACGAGTACGAGTACGAGTCTATTTGCATTCGGTGGGTGCGGCTGGCAGGCGAGGTGTGCTCTTTGTGTGGTAAGAAACGAACAATTGCAGTGGTGCGAAAAGTGCGCGGCAAGTGCCCCACAGTTTGCCCTTAACAGAGGTTAGACGGCGCTAACAGATGTTGCTGCTGTGCCTCATGTGTTGCTGCCACACAGTCGCTTCACAGTGGCAAAGGTTGCTGTGAAGATCTTTCTTGGTTTTGTATTTCTCCCCTTTAAAGGTGTTTCCTATTGAATTTACAAGTTATTAACACGACTAATATTGCCACTATAACGTTATGTTGCTGCTGTATCTAAGGAAATTGCTTCTGCAATTAATCCTACTCTTGATTCTCCTTTAAATTGTTCTGCTGAGTATTTAAACTATTTAAATTCCCTTTGCTGCTGTCAAGAAATGCCTTTAGCATATTTTTCCCTTAAGAGAACTCACTCAAAAGGCAACAGAGTTGCTACTCCGACTAATATTGCTGCTACGGCTAATATTGCTGCTTGCTGCTGTGACTAATGTTGCTGTTGTGTGCCTTTGCCAGCTGGTTTTCTCTTAGCTGGTTCTGCTGCTTGTTTTTGGGGGTTGGCTCTGGCAGCAGAGCGACCCTCACGCACGGCCCAAGTGGCAGCTATAAAGATGTCGTTGTTGCTGTTGTTGTTGCTGCTGCTGTTGTTGCTGTCGAGCCATGCAAAAACGCAACGCTAAAGCAGGTGCAGCAGCCTGCAACTTCCGCAGCGAATGCGAATGAATGTGTGCTCGTTTGCGCTTGTTTGTGTGGTGGGTCTTTTCAAACAGCGGCAGCAACATGAAGTAATTAACAACCACAACAGCAGCAGCAACAACAACAACATCAGCAGAAGCAGCAGCAACATCATGAGGCAGTGGAGCCAAGCAAAGCGTTGACAATAGCATTGAAGTTGCTGCCGCAGTTGCAAGCTTGCAATTGTTGTTGCCGTTGTTGTCATTGTAATGTGCTGATTTCATGGCAGCGCGAATACACCGCGTATACGCAACGCGGAGCGGAGTGGAGTGGAGTGGCAAGGAGGAGGAGGGGCCCTTGCCCCGGGATCTTTGTGCATATTTTTACGCGGCCAGCGAGGCAGGAAACATGCTCAAGTGGCGGGAATGTGGCCAGCATGCTGCTCCAGAGCACATGTCAAGTGCCCCAGTGGCAACACAGAGGGCTTGCCCCCTCCCCTTCCCCTCCCCCTCCCCGTCTATCTTTTTTCCAGAGCAGGAGTTAAGTGATGAGGAGCTGGGAGTGGGATTCGGTCTTCGAGCTTGGGGCTTCCCACGTGAGCGTGTGAAAGAGCAATGGCAATCAAAGTAAGCGGAGGAGGTGGCGGGTTTCAAAATGATAACTACTAACTAAAGTGAAAACTAAAGAGTAAGTGCTTCACGCAGAGACTGCCTACAAAAGGGGTTATCTTGGAATTAAAGAGAAGTTAAGCGTTAAATAATTAGTAAAAACATCTTTAATTCATTTGGAGGCAGTCTCGTTGCACACAACACAGATAATAATTGAATGGTTAAACAATCGATGGCGAGTAACAATGATTATTCACCCACACCGAGATCGCATAATGTCAACAAGCCTTTGTCTTGCTTACCAGCACTTGTCCTCGGCTTTGTCCGCACGGGCTTCGAATCCAATCCCGCATTGCTGCCGGCGTTGCTGTGACCGCTCAGCGATCCCGCTCCGCCGCCGCCGCTGAGGCTGCCCATGGCGGTCGAGCCGCCGTTGCCGCCGCCCACCGAACCGCCCAGGCCGTGCATGCCCGCCGAGGAGCCGCCACCGCCGTGGTGGTGTCCGCTGTGGTGGTGGTGGTGGTGGTGCGCCGCCGCCATGCTGTGCCGCACTGCAGCCGCCGCCACGGAGGAACTTTGGAACATATTCGCCGCGGCCACAGCGGCCGCTTGGTGGTGCGCCGCCGCGTGGTGGTACGAGGCGTAGCTGCTGCTGTCGTAGCCACCACTCCCACCGCCTCCTCCGCCTCCACCGGCACCACTCGCACCACTGCTGTACGCCTGCGCGGTGCCCTCGAACAGTCCGTTGGAGGATGTGGACGCGGAGGCTGCTGCGGATGCGGAGGCGGAGGTGTTGCTGCTGGCGGTGTTGTTGCTGCTGCTGCTGCTCTGCTGCTGCTGTTGCTGCTGCTGCTGCTGTTGCTGCTGCTGCTGACTGCTGCTGGTGGAGTTGGAGCTGGAATTAGTGGTGCTGCTCGTACCTTCGCGCTGCTTGGGCGCCGACGTGTGGGTGGCGCCGCCGCTCGAGGATCCGCTCGCACTGCCGTTCTGGATCGACGGCTTGATGTCCAGCGCGCAACTGGCGTCCGTCAGTGAGGTAGAGCCCGTGGCCTGCTGGTGCATGAACGCGTTCATCACGGCCTGCAAGAGATCGGGAATATATATAGTATATAGGATATCCCCAGGCCATCATCATCAAGTGGTTCCTGCTTTTGGCAAACCTGAATGCTCATTAAACCCGTCAAGGCAAATGCCAAAATAATTCCCGTTTTAAGTGCTCATTTAGGATTCTCAATTAGCAAGCATTTGTGGAATTTCGAGTATTTAATGTATTAATTAAAATCAATCAATTCAAATTCCCCTTAAATATTTAAATACTAAGTATGCATTTTATGGTTTAAATGTCACTTTCGATGTTTTTTCTAACTAAAATGGAATTTATCTTTGATTTTATGGGTTAATTTAAATTATTTCTTTTGAATATGTATTAAGATGCTGATCTTTCCTAAGATATTTCATTGTAGCTCTTATGTTCTCTCAATATAAAATATTCCGCAAACTAAGTTCGATCCCCTGATTTGAGATCCTGATCCCACCAATCCATAAAACCCCTTTAAAAGTACTCACCTGATACTCGGATGGACCGGTTTGCACGGAGTCGGGCGTGGAGTCCTTTGGCGGCGTTGGCGGGAAGGGGAACGAGTGCTGGCCGGTGGCCGTCGTCTGGTGGCTCTGGCCCATCTGGCCCAGTTTGTGCTCCACCTGCGGCTCCTGCGGGCAGGCGAACTGGCCCATGCTCCAGGCGCTCGAGGGGGCGAAGGACTTGTGCTCACTCGTGAGCCAAGGACTCAGGGGCGTGTGGAAGTGCGGTCGGCACACTTGGGGCGTGGCATGGGTGGAGGGCATGCGGGAGGCTGCAAGAAACAGAATAAAAAGAGAAAAGGCGTTCGGTTAAGAATTTAATAAACTCAAGCATCAAGTTAAATGCTGCATTAAATCAATTACGGCCCGAATTTATAACGAAGATTAACCGACTAAGCCGCGACCAGAAGCGATCAAAATTCGTAATAAATGAGGTTGTGTTTCTTCTTCTTCTGCTATCGCTCTTGTTTTCCTCTGTGGCTGCCGCGCAAATTTGCGGAAAAGCTGCGTTATAATTTATGAAACACCAGTCAGCCGATCAGCCATTGAGCCAGTTGGCCAGGCCGAAACAGAAAGAGAAAGAGCCGCCTCAGAACCTCTGACCACCGCGGCAACGCTCGGCAACCTCGGCGGAGGAACCACCATTCATCGCTCGCGGCCTTCGGGCCAACTTTGCATATGGCCAAGACCAAAGCGGCTAAGAGGAGGCGAAGATGGGGAGGAGGAAAAGGGAGTGTTGCGACTGGGACTTCTGCATTGTCATAAATTGTTTAATTTGTATCATAAACAATCGCGTTAAACTTTTGTCCCAGAGCTAAAAAGATCGATCAACGGCTCGGGCCGGCTCACCTCGGCGTTTTGGCCGCGGCTAAAAGTGTAGCCTAAATGTCTGGCAGTGTATAATTTAGCAGACACCAAGTGAGATTTATGTGCGCCAATGCTGCCGGTTACTCCATCGATCCGATCCGATCCTATCCTATATACTATACAGGCGATCCGACAGACAGAAAGACAGATCCCCATATCCTCGCAGCGGGTGTTTTTCTCTGAGCTCTCCACATCGGGATACTTGCAAAGGGGGCAGGCACGTTGCAATTGTTCGGGGCGCACTTATTCTTATTATTATCATTAATATTGGCTGCAGCTCCCCAAAGAGTCGCAACTCGCTGGCCCTCGGGGCTTGTTTGTATGCGAAATTATTTTTGATTATGCAGCAGCGGCAGCCACAACTGCGGCAGCAACATCAGCATCTTTTGCGGCAGGAGCAACAGCAGTCGAAGCTGGTTGGCCAACAGTAGGTCAGTTCATTGCTCGCCGAGATGGATTAGGCCAAATCAAGACAAGAGTCCAAAAGCAGGGTGGATGAAGCGTCGAATTAAAAGTGATTGAACGAATTTAAAATGCTCTTATTTCAGGAATAAAAGCATATGCAATTATCAGAATTTAATAATGAATTATTTGTGATAATATTAGATAAATAACTATTATCTTTAACACTTATATTCAGGTTAACTATTTGAATGCTTATTATTTAATTAAAGTATATGGGAACCCCAGGTATAGAGTATCCATTAACCAGTAGATGGAAAACCCGAAACCAGATCGATGGATCGTTGGATCGCTGCTTTGGCCGGATCGCTGGCTGCGATAATACCCATTTGATTATCCTAATAACAGTGCTTTAGAGGCGATATTATATGTACGTGTGCCTGATTATAGAAATTATCTGCTGCAGCCGCATCAGAAGCAGGAGCATCACCATCTCGCCGTCCGATGGATGCGATCTTGCCGAGAATTTTCCCAGTGCAATGCCTCAATCAAACGTGGTTATTGCTTTTCCCGATCTGCCGTGCAGACTTCACACTTTTGCGCCAGCGACAAAGTCAAAAGCCAGCCAGCCAGCCAGATTCCCCCATATGAAGTCGTCATCGGATCGGCTGTGTGTAATTTGCAGAGATCGGGCGAAATAATACCATTGGTCATGGCAAATTACATACTGTGGCTGCATCTTTCAGCCCGTTGCCAAATCAGTGTCCGATGCGTTCTTTAATTGGCATGGCGAAACTTTCAATTTGCCAGCCGATGGTGTCGGCGATATCGGCGGACTGTTAATGTTAATCCCGCGCTATATATGACTCACTGCTGTTTTACTCGTTCCATACTCGTTTTTTTTCTGCTTGTTTGTGGCTGTTTGCTGCTGGTCGTATAAAACAATTCGCTAATAAATCAAGCTGAGTACACAGCAATTAAAGTTGCAAACTTGAAACAAAAAGAACGACATTTTTTGCTGATGCTTTGGCTTTTGTTTTTGCTTTTGTTGTTCTGGCTGGCGGTATGCAAAGCTCGTGCTGGTGGAAAACGCTGCCCTTGCTCGTCTCCAGGCCACAAAAAAAAGGAAAAAAGTAAACAAAAAAAAAGGCCAGGCAGCCTGACACGTTCTACACAGCAACAACAACAAGAAAAGCAGTTAAGAAACAACATTTTGAAGTTTTTGGCCTGCGCTTGATTTCTTCAAGCTGACAGATCAAAGCCACAGCCAAAAGCCGCCGCTCTCTTTTGGCCCGTTCTCCCCTCTATCTCTCTCTCTCTCTCGCTCTCTCTGTTTTGGCTTGGACATTTCCATGGCGTTTTAAAAGCGTTTGACAGCGCTCAACGCTCTCAGCGCCTGTCCATCTAAGCCAGGTCCGAAAACCGAAAACCAAAAGCCGAAAACCGAATCTGAATCTGAGTCCGAGTCCGGCTTAAAGCGCCTTTTAATTGCAATCGAAGCTGACGCTTGACGACGACGTGAATGACATAATTAATGTGTATATACGTAGGCCGGTTTCTGTGCACTTAGCCGGACGTGTTGGACATTTGAAGATGACAGCTAAACAGGTGAAGCTGCTCCTCCAACTGAAACTGAACGAACTGCAAAGCCGGAGGAGAAAACCAGAGATGAAATGGCTTCAATTAGTTAAATGCATCAGCTGCCGGGCGAGTTATCAAATCGGCCATCGCATCATTTGAATTTCAATGTGAAAGGACAACAAAGCAAAGCCGGGTGGCGAAGCCCATCTTGATAAGGCCCAAAAAGGATTTTCAGCTCTCTCTTTCTCTCTGGTAAATTAAATTCACACCAGCCAGGCCAAAAGGATTGGATTAGGGGTGCGAGATGCTGTCCGTTATCAATTGATGGCGATCAAATCCGCAAATGAGTGAAACGAGACTCTCTAACCGATTTCCAAGGAACTCGTGTGAGATGTCAGTGGCGGTCGATTAGTGGATTCGTTGGATTCGTTGGGTTCAGTTGATTCAGCTGCTTCCTGCCAGCCAGGCCAACAATCAATCATGCGAGCGGCAGGACGAGGACGAGGACCAGGCAATCCTGCAGCTCCTTGCTCCCTGCTTTTCCTTTGGCTGACCCCTCGACGGCACAACAGCAATGCCTGCAGGCGGTGGCTTAATTTATAGCCAGCTACACACAGCCACACAGCCACAGAGCTACCCTCGAGAAACAAGGACTTTTCTTTTCACCTGCTCGATTCAATTCGATGTTGCCTGTGCTGTTGTAGGCGCGTGGCTCCAAAATGCGGTCAAGTGTCTCTCTGTTACACCTGCTCCAAAATTGGAAATTGTTAAGCATGCAGCAGCGGCAGCGGCGGCAGCACAGCCACAACGGGCCATAAACTATAACGGATTCCAGTTTCAGCCACCACCGCCAGCGAGATCGAAGCGGAGAAGTGGAGCTCAGCAGGTAGGTCAGTTTTGGCCGCTCGAAGACACCTTGATAGCAATAGTTGTGCACAGGGAAAATAGTGGATATCTTAAGGTGATTTCACCACAAAATACGCTCAAGAAAGAACATCCTATGATATTTTTACTAATTTAATTATTTTGTGATTTAAAAAGTCTATTAATTAGCTAAGAGAAAAATTACATTCGAGTTTGAAGTGCACATAAATGCCTGCATATATTTTTTGATAACCAGAAACCCCATAAAGCTTATACAGTTATAAAGGTACTATTATTTTCTTTTAGTGCATACCCAGTAGCTAAAGTTTCAGCTTCAATTTCAGCTTCAACTTGGGTCTCCGGACTGCTTAGCATTTTGCGCGCTTGTTTGTTTTAATTATTTCTTTGCTTTCTGCAGTTGCGTGACTCCGACTGACTGACTGAATGACTGGATGACTGCCCGAAGGACTGGCAGACTGACTGACTGACTGCCTGACTGACGGAATGGCCGAGTGAGTGACTGACAGACAGAGGCAGGCTGCATTATTAAGCGCAAACTGCGCTGCCGCCGCCATCTATATTATTAACACTTTATTTGCAGCCCGGGGATCTGCGTTGCATGCCAGCTTATCATTAGTCATAAGTTGTCAATTGTATTTATGATAATGCGTTTAATAACTCAAGTAGCTGCAGCGGCGGCTTGTAAGTTATGCCGTTGCACAACGCAGCGCTCTGGAAAATATTCGTACGTACTCGTATTTTTTTGAGGAATTCTCTCGGTTATTAATTGCTTTATAATTGACGTATTACCAGGGCAGGGCTGCTGTGCCTGGACGGGAATTTCCTCCCGAAAAAAGAAAACAATGAGAGCCGAACGGAGTTAACCAGCTTGTTTGGGCCAACGTGTGAATTACGTGGCCTGGCCCAGCTTTTGCATACGTGCCACAATGTGGCTGCCACAAAAAAGGCAGGCAAATGGGAAACACGTTGACAACAAACAGCAGCAGCAGCAGCAGCGCGGCAATGGGAGTTGGGCTGGGTCTGAAGTGCGCCATTTTTGTGGCCATTTGCAGTTGGTGGTGGGTGAATAATACCCACTACTACCACTACTATGACTACTTCTGCAAAAAAAGAGGAAAAACCAAATAAGAAATGCTAATAATGCGGCTGCAGCGGCTAAAAAAAAGGCGCGTGCATTGAACTGGAATCCTGGCCACGCAATGTCGACTTTTAGCTTTAGCTGCAACTTATGCAAATGCAAATGCTGCGGCAGCCTGTCAGTCAGTCAGTCAGCCATTCAGGCAGCCAGCTATTCAGCAAGTCAGTCAAGGAGCTTGACAGTTTCTGCTCCTTCTCCTTGGGTTGTTGGCTAATGAGCGAACACCCCGAAAAGGATGCGCGAATCCTGTCCGCAAATACCTGCGGGCGCACTTATGACAGTTCGAAGCGTCAGCGAAATCATTAAAATTGACAAGTTTTTATGTGGCACAACCAAATTTGGTCACTCAAAGGCAGCGTTTGGAGTTGGGAGTGATTGTGCGAAGTGTTTCCAGCTCTC